TTCAGTATTTGTTGACCTCTTCATAAAGCTCTTGAAGTTCTGTCCCATATATCTCACGCAAAATGATGGAAAATATGTAGGAAAGCATTTTTCTATTGCTTCTGGCAAGCTTTTCTGTCGATCTGATATAATGGTTAAGGCAGGAAGATTAGGGTACCCATTCAATAGCTCACTCAATATACTTAATAACCAATACCAAACCTAGTAGTTCTCATTCTCAACCACTGCAAATGCCAATGAGAAGAGCCTATTATTTGCATCTAACGCGATGACGCACAATAAAATGCCTTAATATATTCCTTTTAGAAATGTTCCATCAATACCAATTAGTGGCCTGCATCCATTAACAAAACCCATAATGCATGGACGATAAGCATTAAATAGTCGTTTGAACCTACCTTCTTCTGTGTGGATGCGAACTTCGGTTCCCGGGTTGGTTCTTCAGATCGTCTCAATATACATGGGGAAATCATGGTATTATTGTTCATATGATCCATCTATCATCTCTCTAGCAACCTCTTTTCCCCACCAAGCTTGCATGTACGAAAGCTTGACTCTGTGATCACGTTGAACATCCTTTATAATGTCTTTTGCTTTAGTTTTTGGTTGGTCAAGAAGGCGGCCTTTAATCTTGTTTGCCACCCAATCGCTACGAGCTAGTGGTTGATGGACGTTCCCCATTGGACCACTACATGTGTGCTCCTTAGCCATAGACTTCACTTTAAAGTATGTGGTACTGCCAACTCGTAAACATCGCATTTGCCATGTGCATCCCTCTGCCTTGCAACTTGCCCACACCCGTCCTAATTCACTTTTGTCAAACTTTAAAACAAAATTATTGTGATTACAAAATCAACTAGATGATGCCGGCATTCATTAACATTTTCAAAAAAAATTGCCCTACATTCAATTGAACCTTGTTACCAACTCCTCTACATGGACTCTCTAGTGGTTCATTATCCTCCATATCATGCTCTGGTACAAGCTTAGGGTTGAGCGCCACTTGAATATTTTGATCTTGCTCAGGTAAAGCGTTACGCCGACTGTTGACAAAAGATAGAATGTAAGATGAAACAACAATTTCTGCACATATAAGATTAAAATAAAACAATTTACAGATGAAAAAATAAATTGTAGATATACATATTCCTTGAAGATGGGCCTCAGTAACAGATTCTTGTTGTGGCTCGACAATATGTATTACAATTCTCGAATATTCCCCTCCAACATAAAAGATACATATATATCATCACTAACATCAATCAAATCAAGCCCACTAGATAGGCTTGTGTTGTGGTACATAATAGCTAATTTGCTTAGAACACACTTAGTTAAAATAGTAAAATGACTTTTTAGTTCTTCCAATGAACTATTCTCATTATATTGTGTGACCTTCAATTTTCCTCCTTTATAAATAACACGTCCGTCATGTGCATTCGTCTCAAATGACCCCCCATATCGGAATACCAGTTGCACTCCCTCAGTAGCCATCGTCAATACTATTGTATTAAATGAATAGCAAAATTTGTGTTACAAAAAATCAATACAAAAAAATTACCAAATATTGGGATATTTCTAACTACTTTAGGGTTCATAAAATCTGAGTATTACATAATAAATTGAAATAGTGTACTACTAAAATTGTGAGTAATAAACATTAAACAAAAGAAAACAATAAATACTCACATAAACACAAAATAAACAACAAATTTTAATACAACCAAACAACTTTAACAATTATTTAGCCAAAACAATGAATACAATGTATCAACATAATACCAACAATAAATAATTATATAAAACAAATAACTTCATCAATATTACACAAATTCTTTTTATTAATAAAAATACACAACAAATATTATTAACAAAATAAAATATCCTAAAAAATAACAGATAATAAACTTCAATTAATCAACCGTAAAAAAAAAGAGTAAGAACGGTACCAATCACGTCCAAATAATGAGTCAATCTCTTCAACTTTGTGGGTTACATTATTAAGTGACAGTAAAAGGGGTGTGATGCTTCAATGCTCGGTTTTTCCCAACTTTATAAAAATAAAAATAAATAAGTTTCTGCTTGTACATGGGAAATGTTGGCGTGAAAAATTTCGGATGTTCAACATCCAAAAATATCATAAATTTGGATGTTGAACATTTGAAAATAACAAAAATCATTGTTGGAGCTGCGGCTATTTTCGGATAATGAACATCCGAAAATTGTAAAAATTCGGATGTTGAACATTCGAAAAAGGGTAAAGATATTTTTTTAAAAAAAAAACGTCATAGATGGACACAAATATAATAACAAAAAATATTTGATAGATCCGTAATAAGATAAAGTATAACGAATATATGTGTAATTTTTTCTTATTTTTTATTGGGACTAACATACTCAAATATTTAGATATGTATCATT